CGTGTAGGTGTCATCAAGTGCATCACAAAATTGATGCTCATTTGTACTCTCCCCTTAAACCTCAGATTTTGGGTAGTAGAATTAATTTTCAAAAAATGTGACATTCATGGAGTTGCAATCTTTTTTTTGGTAACAAGAGAGTAACACTTATACCCATTTTTTGAGGCATACCAAGAAAATTACAGTTGATAAATTTAGTCAAGTTTATGCATTTTAGGAATAGATGCGAACAAATGATACACACCAAAGGTTTTAAGCGATATAGTAGAAGAGAAAGCTTTGAAATAAGGATAAGTAACCATTAAAACATGAAGGAGTGTTTTAAAGTCAAGTATCAAGCTAGGCATTTAATTGATAAGGTATGTAGCAGTAAGAATTGTTTCCCCCTAAAAATATTTCGAAAATTAAGGATAATGATAATTGAGCGAGATACCTCAAGGAGATGTAAAATCTTTCTCCCAACTATCATATTTTGTTGTTAAGCATTAATACATAAACTCAAATAGATAAGTCCACTTTTTGAAAAATAGGACTCAAGAAAGGAATTGAAAATTTTCTTTATACTATCAATTTTTAAGATATAAATTTTGCAATAGAATTGAGTTTGATTCATAATTGAGCGAGATACCTCAAGAAGATGTATGTTTTTTCCGTCAGTTATCATATTTTTTTTGTCAAGCATCAATACATAAACTCAAATTGATAATTCTACTTTTTGAAAGATATGCCCCAAGATTGGAATTGAAAATTTTATAAGTAGAATTCAAGTTGGTTGGTTGAATTGTAGGAATGCTTTGTGCCTATTGTGTGATAAGTACGGCTTAGACTTAAAGGAAAATTTTATAAGTTGGTGGTGAGACCTGCAATGCTCTATGGCGCGGAATGTTGGCCTTTATAAGAGAAGCATAATACTAAGTTAAGTGTTGCCGAGATGAGAATGATTAGGTGGATGAATGGAGAAATGAATATATTTGTGATAGGGTTGGTGTTGCTCTAGTAACGGGCAAAATTAGAAAGTCATCTTAGATGGTTTGGTCACATTAAACGTCGACCATCTGATGATCTGATTAGGAGAGGTCAACTTATGTTAAGAAAGGCAGAGGTTGACCTAGGA